TTTCTCTCTCTCCCTGCACCCCTACTCCCTCTCTCCCTCCTCCCTTCCGCTCTCCCTCCACCAATCCATCCATCCCTCCTTTCTCCCTCCTTCTCTCTCCTTGTACTAACTCATTTTGCAACATATCATCTATCTTATAGGGTGAGGCTGGGATTGCAAGGTTCCGTGGCCCTTCTGAGAGGCTTGTCCACACGGGGAAGGCTAGATCAGTAGCAACTTGAGTACATGTAAGGTGTAATAGAGAGAGAGAGAGAGAGAGAGAGAGAGAGAGAGAGAGAGAGAGAGAGAGAGAGAGAGAGAGAGAGAGAGAGAGAGAGAGAGAGAGAGAGAGAGAGAGAGAGAGAGAGAGAGGGAGAGAGAGAGAGAGAGAGAGAGAGAGAGAGAGAGAGAGAGAGAGAGAGAGAGAGAGAGAGAGAGAGAGAGAGAGTGAGAAGAGAGAGATGAGAGAGAGAGAGAGAGAGAGAGAGAGAGAGAGAGAGAGAGAGAGAGAGAGAGAGAAGAGAGAGAGAGAGAGAGAGAGAGAGAGAGAGAGAGATGAGAGAGAGATCCATGGCGTCTGATTCTTCTTTTATTTTTAAGCACATAGGGTAGATTTTTATGACGTCACAAAAGTTACGCATGCTTTGTGAATGTGGCCGATCATTTTGGCCTCTTCAATTTTCAAATAGGATGGAAAATAACGCTTTTAATGGTTATATTTTCACAGAACAGTCATCAAAACAGACGCCATGACACCTCGAGTTGCTACTGATCTAGCCTTCCTACTGTCCACACAAGCGGGCGTGGTCAGCGGGCACCAAATAGGATGATGGAACCTAGACTTCGGATTAAGATATCTGTTGCCTACTTCCTAACCATGCGAACGTCTGCACTTCAGTTATATTTTGCAATGCTATCACTTGTAATACAATTTCGTATAAATTCTTACGTCATGCAATACAGATAATCACTGATTTCTAACCCAATCAACGCCGAAGTCACGGCTCTAACGTCGCATTCGTAGCATTTGCGGTCGAGCACGAGTGATGACGTCACGGGCGGACAAACTACTCTCTAAAGAAGTAATTTCCTCGTCGTTTATTTTCCTATGACGTCACCTTTCCAGTTGCCCGTCGACGTGTCCGCCAATCATGCCCGCTCGTGTGGACAGGCCTTATGGAAAGGTGAACTAAGACCTAGATTCGCATACTTGAGCGCCATACTCGGGCTCTGTGGACAGGCCTTATGGGAAGGTAGATTAAGACCTAGATTCGCATACTCGAGGCCATACTCGGGCTCTGTGACCAGGCCTTAAGATAAGGTAAACTAAGACCTAGATTCGCATACTCGAGCGCCATACTCGGGCTCTGTGAACAGGCCTTATGGGAAAGGTTGATTAAGACCTGAATTAAACTAAGACCTAGATTCGCATACTCGAGCGCCATACTCGGGCTCATACTGCGATCCTCCAAAGAAAACTAACGAAGGGGAAGAACAAGAGTGAAAAGAGACGAATATATCGACGGCCTTTTCGCTATGTTGCTTCTTCAGTGCTTCTTCGTCTTTTTCAGTGCCTCGGGGGAAGAAAAGGCCTTCGACGTTTTCGCGTGTATTCGTGTTCGAAATTTTTTTTTTCTTTTTTCTTTTTTATGGGGGGGGGGTAGGGGTCCAACACACGATCCATGCCATTCGAGAAATTTATCGCTTACCCCCTCCCCCCGTACGCCCCCCCCCCCCAAAAAAAAAGTATTACAAACTCTCTTTAGATATTACGAAATTGCCCAGAACTTCCAGCAAAGAGAAAAAAAACAAAAAAAGCTATGGCACCAGTTGGCACCATGAGAGTACTGGCGAGGCATCAAATACAAGCAAGTTCTACCATATAACAACCTCTCCAAAAGACAACAATTGACTACCTATACACATACATAAATCACCAAAAAGCTATGGAGTAAGCACAAGATACAGTTTCGGAAACAAGACAAAAAAAATCACATTATTATAAACCGTAAAAGAATTCTCTAGTCCCATAATCTTATTAAATTCCTCCTGGAATCTACAAGAAAATAGATTTATCCCATCAATCAAATAGCAATTGAGATAATATCATGCATTTAGTTCACTTAATGTTGCTATTTGTGTGTGTGTGTGTTTGTGATTAATGATATACAAAATTTATTGCCGACAAGATAGGGCATCTTAACAAGGTGGCCATTATAGAGCGACTCTACAAGATACGTGGCGTTAATACATGATTGATGGCGCTCCTAAATCAGCTGAAGTTTAGCCACCCTTAACCAGATACTTAAACTCCCCCCTTAAGAATTTTTAAGGACATGGAACCTAAACTTCTTTTTTTTTTAAACACAAATCAGATTTTTTTTCCTTCTCTTTTCGATTTTCCACTTCATCTTCTCTGTCTCTTCTCTCCCTCTTCCATTCTCTCTTCTTTTCCATCTTCTACTCCTTCTCCATTCCCCCTCTTCCATCCTCCTTCTTTTCCAGTTTGTACTCCTCTCCCTCCTTCCCTTTCCCACCTTCGTATCAGCCTCATATCTCCAACACTCCCTCCACCCTCACACCTCCCTCCATCCTCCCTATATCCTCATCCTCACCTTATCCTCTCCTTTCCTTCTCCCTCCCCTTTCCACTTCTCACCCTCACACCCTCACACCTCCCTCCATCCTCTCCAACATCTCCACCCCCCCCATCATTCTTTCTCCCTCCTTCTCATCCTCTCTCCTCTCTCCTCACCCTCACACTCTCTCTTTCCCTCTCCCTCCTCACCCTCACATCCTCCCTCACACCTCACACACTGCCTCCTCCTACCCTCACATCTTCTTCATCTTCCTCACACCTACCTCCTTCCCTCCTCACCCTCTCCCCTTCTCCTCCTCACCCTCACACCTCACTCTTTCCTCTCCTCCACCTCACTGCCTCCTCTCACCCTCACATCTCCCTCCCATCTTCCTCACACCTACCTCCTTCCCTCCTCACCCTCTCTCCAACTCTCCTCACCCTCACACCTCCCCCCATCCCTCCTCCTCCCCTCCCCACCCTCCCTCCCCTCGAAAGTAAACACAGATCTTACGTAAACAATGAGTAAACTTGTCTCACAACGCCACTCACGCTGCCACTGCGCCCTTAGTTGTGAGTAAACTGCCCCGGCGACTTTACTTCTCCCTCACTCTATTTCTTCAAGTGTTTACAGATGAGGTTAAAGCCAAGTTATACTGAGAGGAACGCCGGGTGGATAGTGGCGGCGGCGTGATCGTGGCTTTGGGTCGGATGCTGTAAACTGTGACTTTGGTGCGGGTTGAATGTGGCGGGTTTGAATGTATGTATGTATTTGTATGTATGTATGTATGTATGTATGTATGCATATGTATGTATGTATATATGTATACATAATCTGTATAAATATGCGTGTGTGTGTATATATATATATATATATATATATATATATATATATATATATATATTATATATATATAATATTATATTATATTTATTTATATAATATATATATATATATATACATATATATACATATATATATACACACACACACAATGCACACACAACACACATACACACACACACACACATATATATATACATATATGTGTGAATATATATATACATATGTGTATATTAATACATATCTATCTATTATCTATATATCTATATCTGTATACACACACACACACACACACACACACACACACACACACACACACACAACACACACACACACACACACACACCACATATATATATATATATATATATATATATATATATATATATATATATATATATATATATATATATATATATCCTGGCAGATAATAAGTAGGTGAGCCTCTAAAAATAGATATAAAAATAGAGATGCTAAGGTGTAGGCAGATAAATATGCTGACATATTTCTAGTCTCTTTTTACGACATAATTTCCTCCCCGGAATGGCAACCGCCAAACGTCACTGGAATAAAAATAGATCGTAGTTGCCAGAGAAAAAAAAGGATAAAAAAAAAAGGAAAAACACCTACGCCGTTTTCCTTTTTTTTGGCGTATAACACTTTTCATTTTCTTATCTGGACGGCCATGAAAACCGCATGAAATTTTCCCGCGTGAGGTGCCCAGTTACAGTTCTAAATCGAAGTGTAATTAAATCATGGCGCCAAACAAACACCTGGTGACAGCAAGCCAATCAAAGAACAGGTAACACAAAGGCATTGAGAGGCAGCCAATCATGTGACGTGTATTACAGCCCGTAATTTACTAGGCCACCAATCACGGTGTGGAATGGCTATGACGTCATCCAGGTGCCCCACACCTCGTCCTGGACGTCAGCTAGTTGTACCATTGTTCAGGGTAATAGTGTTTCTTCTTCTTCTTCCTTTTCTTTCTTCTTCTTCTTCTTCTTTTTCACTTTTTTTCTACTTCTTTTTCTTTTCTTATCTTTTCCTTTTCTTCCTCTTCCTCTTCTTCTTCTCTAAATCTCCTTCTCCTTCTCTCCAATTATGAAATTCAGATAAAACAAGACTTTGGCAAAAAGAGAATTAGCTGTCAGAATAATCTTATCATCATGATAATGTATCAGCTGTTATCTAACCATACTGCAATAACTGTCCACATGATAACTACACAAGCAAATTTCATTCGCTAATGTAAACCCAAAAGAATTTCAAGAATGTTTTATGTTGGTATAAGAACTATTAGAATGATAAAATATAGTCGCACTAATTTAGGTGTAATAATAATTTACAAATATCTCTCAGTTCATAAATAATTGCTAATTAATTAGACTCGAGCAATGTCGCCGACTTTCCAATTATCTTAAAATAAGCGTTTCTGCCTCGACTCCGGGCACCCCTTCGCCGAGAGCGCGTGCGGCATGGGCACGGGGGGGCGCAGCACGCAGCCAGAGGCCCGGCGGCCAGTGCCTGCCCCGGGTGCCCGCTGCCTCCCCCGCAACCCGTGCCAGGCCGCAGGCGGCTCGCCGGCGTGAGGACTGACCTTTGTTGGTGGTCGAGAAGGTCCTGAGCAGGTAGGCGTCGGGGTCGAGGCACTCGTTGGAGCCCGAGGGCTTGACGTCGAGGTATCCGGCGCCGGCCGCCGCGCCCCCGCGCCGGGAGCCCGCGTTGGCCGAGCTCCTCTTCACCGTCGATCGGCTCTTCTGTGCTGGACGGGTCACTCGCGTGGGCGTGGGGGAGTGGCTGGGGGAAGAGGCTGTGGGCGGGCGCGGGCGGCGGGCGGACGCTGATCGGCGTAGCACGGGCGAGTCTTCGGCATCCTCGCCGCTGCCGCCGCCGTCGGGCGTGAGGGTGACCAGCCGGCCGCAGGAGGGCACCTTGCGGAGGAAGGGGTTGTAGGAGGCCTCACCGCCCGTCCTGTCGGCGCCCGCGAAGGAGGCGCTCGCGTCCTCGTCGAGCTCGACGCCGACCTCGGAGCCCCTCGGGGACTCCCTGCGGCGCACGCGGGGCGGCCGCGAGCCCTGCACGCGGCAGGACTGCGAGCGCCGCGCCGCCTGCGACGCCTTCAGCCTCGCCCTCGGGCTGGAGGATGCCTGCTGCTGAGCCTGGACGAAGGCCGCCGCGTGGGCTCGGGCATCCATGTGGATATCTGACGAGGAGTGCGCGGAGTGGAGGGCGGACAGCGGCTGGGAGGGAGCGCAAAATGATGCGCTCCGGCCCTTCTCCGCCGCACGCCGCACCAACTCCGCCTCCGCCACCGTCATCATGTAAACACCGCCGCCCAACCAACACCGCCCGAGTGTTTACACCTCCTCCTCCCTCGCACAGTGTTCGCCCGACTCTCGTTCTCCACACTCGTGCCGCCTCGCCGCTCCGCCTCGCACTCCGCTCGCGCGACGCTGCTCTCGCGACCACCGCCACGACCTCACTAACACCGCACTGACACGTGATGACGCACACCAGAGCTGCACTGACGCGTGGCTTCCCTGACGACCGCACCAGTGACACTGTGGCCCCGCGCCCGGCCAGCCACCCACCCGGCCGCCCGTGCTGCCGCCGCTGCCGCTGCCACCGCCGCTGCGCACCGCGCTCGCTCTCCACCGCCGCTCTTCCACCATCGTTCGGACTCCACCGCCGCTCTTCCACCTCACTCCTCAAATTCCACCACCGCGGTTCTTCACCTCAGCTCTCTCCACACGCCACTCATCCACCTCGGTTCTCTCCACCACCCGCCGCTCGTTCACCACGATCCCCGCTCCTCAACCAATCTCCACCAACCCCCGTTCGCCTCTTTCTCCCTTCTTCCAAGACTCCCTTTCTCGCCTCCACCTCCGCTATTCCACGCTAAACTTACCACCCGCCTTCTTCCACCGCCCTGCACCTCCCCTTGCCACCACCTCTTTCGGCTCCCTCCACCCCCACCTCCACCTTCCAACCCGCTCTTTCCACCTCCACCTCCTTCCACCCTCCACCTCCTTCCACCCCCTCCACCTCCACCTTCCACCACCCCTTCCACCCCTTCACCGCCTCCACCCCACCCTTCACTCCACGCACGACTTCCCACCCTTCCACACGCCTCCACCCATCCTCCCAACCACTGTGAATCACCTTTTTTTTTTTTTTCCTTTTTTTCCAGATGATTCACAGGCCGTTTCAGCTTCTCGCGTATGTCTCGCCGTAAAAAAAAAAAAACAAAACAAAACAACGAAAGATTAAAAATTTCCGAAGCATGTTTTCATCCGGTTCCTCGAACGTTCGTTTTCTTGCTTTTATTCGTTTCTTAAGAGTGTTTAGCGGACGTGGCTTTCCAATGTTCTGCTTCAACTGCGGATTAACTGTTAGATGCCGCGCCGGTTGCCTCGTTAAGAGATAATTAAGAAAAAAAATACTTTTTACTACGAATTGGATAAATAGAGATAATTAAGAAAGAAGGACTATTTACAACGATAGACGAATTGGATAAATAAATGAAAATAAAAATCATGTATCGTTCAGTTTAAAGAGAATATATATTAATGATTATGGAAAGCAAATAAAAACATAAATTAATAATTGAATAAGAAATCTAAAATAGAATTCCAATCACACTTTCACGTGCAAATAATTCTAGTCAGTGCTTATATCATCATCTCTTCCAGTTTATGATAATCAGATATATAAATATATGAATAAGAAAGAAAGAGAGATAGATAGATAAATAGATAGATAGAGAGCGAGAGCAAGAGGGAGAGGGAAAGAGAGAGAAAGAGGGGGATTGGGTGAAGAGAGAGAGAGAAGAGAGAGAGCGAGAGAGAGAGAGAGAGAGAGAGAGAGAGAGAGAGAGAGAGAGGAGAGAGAGAGAGAGAGAGAGAGAAGAGAGAGAGAGAGAGAGGAGAGAGAGAGGAGAGAGAGAGAACATATAGAAAG